TCGCGAAACGGCGCTCGCTCGTACAGGCGGCAGTGTTGCGTAATTGTACGTAGAATTTGTCGCGAGCCTGAATCCAGTCTGACGAGTCTCGGCGAAAGAACAAACTCGTCGCACGTGTTTCACGTAGGCGGAATCTCATCGTGACGTAGAAAACGACTCGCTTCTATCGCTGCCTTGAGATCAAGGAAACCCTTGGTTGACTCAACGATCGAAATCTAGAACACGTGAGAGCACCTTGTACTTGAAATCCTCCCTGATTCACGACCAATAAAATTTAAGTTTATCGGGAATCCGGGCACCATAAAAGTGTACCTTTTTTACATGGAAAGATTTATCAACTTTTACGAGCCGCGATTTGGTCAAATTTTTATCGGAATTTCATATGAAAATGTTAAACCTCTTCAAACATCGTAACATTGTTTTCCGGTTATCGCGAGCCGCGAGTGATCCATTCAGAAACGGAGACGATTATACGTTAGATTAAGAAATAGCAAGAGTTATTATGTCGCATTAAGGCCAATATCGTTTCATAGCGGCCGCGAAGTCTTCTGCCCTAGTCCAGATTTCTAACTGTTTCTTCTTGAAAAATAAGGGAAACTCGTCGCAGTGGCACAACGATGTTTCATTTAAAGCTTCTGCTCCTTGACATCGTTAACTGCGATTCAAATCCGAGATTGCAGAGTCCCGTTGCTGAAAGGGTTAACGCAACGCGTGCAAATAGCGACGAGGAGGCTCGTTTTCCTCGCGGGTAATTTAATCGCGATTTCCAAAGAGGAGACGACGAGGAGGGATCGTACGACGCGCGTGTAACGGGGTGGGGACAGAGCGCAATGCGACGCCGATGAAACCAGTTCTCAGGATAAAAGCGAGAACGAGAGAGAAGTCTGACCCCGAGAGAGCATTCGCGTCTCTAGTCTACAGGGTGTCCAGTAACCCATCCCCGGCACTCCTTCATCGTCGGAGAAACGTGCTGAAGCCTCGCGGCGATATTTAATACACCCTCGCGCGTCCTTTACGACCTCTTCTACGATATCTCTGCGCGAAATCACGGGGGTTCACCCTTACGACCCGTGGAAACCAGAGATCCGCTGGTACTCAGGAGGAAATTAATATTTTCAGAAGCTTCAGTCGCTTCAAAGACATTTTTCCTGAATATTCATGCTCCCGGATGAATTTTCATTTTTCTAATTATGTAAATCTCGGGAGCCGACGTCACGTGTTACTTTCATGCGATATCGCGTTGCACTAGAAATTGTAAAGGAAGTTGGCTTTGGTACCGTTCGAAACAAGTACCAAGTACAAGGATAAAGTGGCAAACAGATTGCATCCGTTGAAACTAAAATGGTTAGCATTACAGCGTCTTTTGAATTCCCAGTTACTTCAATGCGAGCAGTGATTTGAATCTCGGTAGGAAGGGCGCGTTCGCTCTTGTCCTGAAACGTTCACTGTGTCTGCCACCTCGTGTGCAACATTGCGTCTTAGCAATTCCAAGCGTGTGAGATCACGACCGAGCCGAGCTACGAAAAACTCGAGAAAGTTATTGCACCGTGTAAGCTTTTTCTGTTCGCTGCCCCGATTGCACCAAGTATTATGTACCTGCGTGCATGAATTACGTATCTGCGAAGCGAGCTCGTAATAGTATTTCTAATTTCGCCTGGAGCCCGGCACGGAAATTGCGTTACTAAACGAGCTCCGGGAGCAAACGAAGTTAATGGAAAATTAAACGGACCATCGCTGCAATTGGCCTACGTAGTTTTTCCACAAGAGTAGTTCATCAAGGAATCCATTTTATACATTATTCTCGTTGAATCCTATCCACTAAACCGTGGATTCTGTGCATTTATAAAACCAGTATAATGAACAGATAATTGAACTGTTGCATATGATGCATAAAAATATCAAAAGTCTATGCATTTTGCAATCTGAAATGCATATTTTATTAAACTGATTAATTACGTATGCTTGACTCTAGAGAAATTTGCTCGCAAACGGGAGTCGTGGAAACTTTTTAACAATTGGAAGTTAACTTTGAAGGAAAGGGGAGAGATCGGAAGTTCGTGATGCGAAACGATGTAGTCTCGTTCTCTCAATCGATTCCGTTACCGCAGCGGTCCTTCCGGATGCCGAAGAATTCTGATGGATTTCGTATGCAAAAATGTGTTGCGCGAACGATGCGCGTGTAATATGGCCGGTGAATCGCGGTCGATCGTCGCAGTCCATAGAATTCGTGAAAGCGAAGAACCTAACCGGTCGGGTAGGCGTGCGCCGTTTCAGGCTTCGGTAAATGTGACTCGGGATTGCGTAACGCCACCGTATAATATATATTGTTTTCCGTTTGCTTTTCCGGCTGGCTGCCCGGTACAAACATGGTAACATTGTTGGTTTCCGTCGCAGTCAACTGGTTTCTCGTTTTATCGAGTTAATATCCAGTGATTCTCTTCTATACGAGGTTGTTGCAAGCTCCATGCCACAGTTTAGTGTAAATTCATTGAAAAGGATTTATCATTCAACGATCTGACAAATTCAGGATTGACAAATTTTATTCCTTTGATTATTTCACTAATTTTTACGTGTCACAGAATTTATTCAAATTAGCATAATGAATTTATCGAGATGAATGAGGTAGTCGAATAAGCGTGATTGGATTATATGCAAAATGAGAAACGAGACTGTTATCGGTACCTGCCAGGTTGGTTGCACCGATGGGCGGGGAAGGGCGCATTTACGTTGACCCGGTTACAAATTACCCACGATCGAACTGCCGCATTTTGCTGGGTCAATGCGCCTCGGTTGACTTCTCGGTATTTCGAGCGTAATGCCGGATTAAGTCATCGCGATGTTACTTTCGTACCGTTCTGATCGAGAACGCTCTCTCATAACTAGCTTAGCGCCACTCTAATTGGATAAATAATATTCATTTTATGATATACGGTCATTTGAAAATATCTAATCGATGGCTTTTGTTCTCTGTAGGTTTCGAAATTCTGCAGATAAGACATTCTTATTGTTCCGTGTAAAATTGTTATCTTGCAATTACATACAGGAAGGTCGATAAGAAATTTTATCACAGATTTTGTTATATGTATAATTTATCGAATGCATCGGTTCACAATATGTGATTCGTGGAATTGGCAGATTATTCTTATTGATTCGTTACGTACACTCAAGCACTTAGTTCCTGCTCTCTGGAATAATAAAAGTATATAAGTATTATGATTAATGCTTGATTCGCTTTTGCCTCAGTAACAGTTATTTCATGTGTATTACTGTTCAGCAGTAATTGGCTTATAAATTTCTTTTCCTTGTATTCTTTTTGTGGGAATGATATTTTTATCCTTCTCGTAAGACATATGAAATATGTAGGCAATAAATCCTACGACATGCAAATATTATCAGTAATCGGAAAATCGATTAGCGAAGATTATAGATTATGTTCTATTACTCCATCGATAAGAGAGTGAAGATATCATATAATTTTTTTTTCTTTTATCTATTGTGTGATAAATGTTGATAACAAGCAAAGGTTTAATAATGCAACGTTTAGTATCGCGCGGTATACTAATCGGTACTGATCGTCTTTGTGGGAGCGTTCTCTCCTTAATTTTTTCGCCATGGAGATCATTGATGTGGAAAAATGGGACGTTTTGGAGGAGTACTCTAACGATTTTCAAAATTTGTTCAAACAAGTGAGTAGCTAAGATCTCCATAACGTCTATCTCAATAACTTCTCTCTAGTTACCCCTTTATATTCGAGGCTTCGTACGTATTCGAGTTTTCCTGGCGAATCGTTAATCCTTAAGCCATTACAAGTATTTAATGCGAATCTTCGGATATTATCTCTAAAGTTCGACATAGAACGTCATCAAAATTTCGATGAAAATAACACACTGACTCATTCGTTGATTTGTCAATGGCGAGCACGAAATTATCGATAAAGTCGATAAGGATAGATCTTTATTATGTCACGGAGTTAAATGGTAGTGAGGATGGTTTCACGGTGATTAAAACGGAAACATTCGGGACCCGTTCAGCGTTTAGAATAAGATGCTAATTAGTCGGCAACACGGTTTCCCGAGAAACGAGCATAAAGAACCGTCGATTAACCCCGATGCCGCTTTTCCAAGAACGCTTTCCGTGTACGACTATTGTTCTCCGTGGAAAATTGCACCGCCTCTGATCGCGACTGCATTCTTGAAAACCGACGAGACTTTTATTGCGGACAACCTAGATATCGTCGAAGGAGCCGCGAGACGGCTGCGAGATAAAGCAGTACCGTTCTTTCACACGTGACGATGGTACCGTATTAAGCATCGTGTACGTTGATTGCATGTACTAACTAATTTTTTACCTCGACACTTTTTCTTTAACACAATTCTGTTATCGTTTGGACTTCGTAGAAACGACTTGCTATCTGATATACGAACACTCGTAGCAGTAATTGAATTAAAGAGTAAAAAAAAATATATATTGCGCTTGTTTAGAGTCAACAGATAATGTGTCAAACCATCGTTAATAAATTATAAAAAAGGCTTGAGTCATTTAGACTCCTGAATCGGGGAGAATCAAGATTACAAACTGTGGTCTTACATGTAACCATTAATCTTCTCCCATTCAAGAATCTTTTAACAAATCTGAAGACTTCAATATTTGTACTCTCTTAAAGTTTGGAAACTCGGATATTTCAAGAAAAATCAAGCTACTCCCTACTTCATTGCTGTGATAATTTCTTATATTGAAAATATCCATGAATCCTTCAATGAAATCTGAACACTTGCACCCTCAAGAACCCAAGTCACACGTCCGGCATCAAACACGAATTGTTTTGGATACTTAAAATCATAACTATCAAACAAGAATCTTTGAATGGAATCCGAAGACTCAGAACCCTGTACCATGAAGCTGCTCCAGACAATGAACTCCATCTTTCTGAATCCAACTTCCTGCGTCCAAAAATCCCGAACAAGAGGACTTTGTATCTGATGAGAATTTATTTCCGGTAGATCGACGCGAATGGGGACGGTTTCATCAACCTCACGGAGTTACGCAGCGCTCTGGACATCTGCGGCTTCAAAATGCCCGGGTACAAAGTGCGACAGATGATCGAGGAGTACGATGACAAGCAGAGATCGGAGCACAAGGGACGACTTTCCTTCGAGGAATTCGAGAAACTATGTAAAGAGCTAAAGGCCAACGAATTGGGTTCGACGTTCAAACAGGTCGTTTCGAAGAAGGAGAATTTAGAAACTCTGGGTGGCATCTCCGAGGCGTCCAGCGAGGGGACTACGCACTCGGTCAGGCTGGAAGAGCAACTAGCGTTCAGCGACTGGATCAACACGAATTTATCGCACGACCCCGACCTGAAACACCTGCTGCCGATCGATGCGGAGGGGAAGAACTTGTACGAGAAAGTCAAGGATGGAATTCTTCTGTGGTATGTATTTATTCACCGATGCATGCAAGTGTAAATTACTGTCTTCACAACACTATTAAATTGTTTCATGTTTCAGCAAAATAATTAATCATTCCTGCCCTGACACGATCGACGAACGAACGATCAACAAGAAGAATCTAACATTGTACAAGAAACACGAGAACTTGACTCTCGCTCTGTCTTCTGCCCAAGCGATCGGTTGTAACATCGTGAACATCGACGCGCACGATCTTACCAAAGGCTCGCCTCATCTGGTCCTCGGTCTGCTCTGGCAAATTATACGAATCGGTCTGTTCAATCAAATCACGCTGGAAAACTGCCCAGGCCTGGCTACATTGTTACAAGACGGAGAACGCATCGAAGATTTATTGAAATTATCTCCGGAGTCGATTCTCCTCCGATGGGTGAACCATCATTTGGAGAACGCCGGCATTGCGAGGAGATGCCACAATTTCCAGTCGGACATTACAGACTCGGAAATCTACACGTACTTGATCAAACAGATCGCGCCGAACACAGCTGGAGTCACTTTGGAAGCTTTGATGGAACCGAACCACACCTCTCGAGCGGAAATCATGCTGCAACAGGCGGCTAAGTTAGGCTGTCGCAGCTTCGTAACGCCCAGCGATGTGGTGAACGGCATATACAAGCTGAATCTTGCCTTTGTCGCGAACATGTTCAACAATTACCCGGGGTTGGACAAACCGGAAAGCAATATCGAGGGTCTAGAGTCGTTGGAAGAGACCAGAGAGGAGAAGACTTATCGGAATTGGATGAATTCGATGGGCGTCGTACCCCACGTGAATTGGTTGTACTCCGACTTGGCCGACGGTCTAGTCATCTTCCAGTTGTACGATATCATAAAACCAGGCACAGTAAATTGGAATCGAGTGCACAAGAAGTTTACTAAATTAAGGAAATTCATGGAGAAACTGGAGAATTGTAATTACGCGGTCGAGCTTGGGAAAACGATGAATTTCTCTCTAGTTGGAATTGCTGGCCAGGATATAAACGATGGAAATGCGACTTTGACTCTGGCTTTAATCTGGCAACTGATGAGGTCGTATACGTTGTCGATCCTCACGTCGCTGGGCGCCACTCAGGGTACCCAACAAGTCGAGAGAGAAATAGTGCAATGGGTGAATTCGAAGATACAAGCGGCTGGGAAGACGAGTAGCATCAAAGGTTTCCAGGATTCGTCGATAGCCGACGCGAAAGTGGTCATCGACCTAATCGATGCGATCAAACCGGGTTCCGTGAATTACGACCTCGTGAAGGAAGGTGGTACCGAAGAGGTGAGAAATTATTTTTCATTCTTCGCAAGTCGGTCGTTTCTTTCTTAAATGGTTCAATCGTGGGTTTCTGAGTTACGGCCTCGTAAACGTCTCACGGGAAGTTTAGTAGGTTGTTTTGTGGATGAAACGGTTTGCTCGCCAATTGAATTTGTCGATGAAGTAACATGGCTTTTTTTTATGTACATACAACGTAGCGCTTATCTGATACATTGATACTAGTATGCAGCTCCGATAATAGATTACAGTATTTGTTCGAGGATATTTTTTTTTATTGATTTTTGTACTTGCCTCTGATTGGAACAAGAGATGTTCTTTTAAATCTTATATCGATCGGAGTAGTTTTCCTGATAAATTAAAAGGGTAGCAGAATATAGAATTGTGAGAAAGTTCAGTGAAGACATTACCGTTCCGAACCATTCGGATAATTAATGGCCATAAACTTATGATTTCTCGTTGCAGGAGAACCTGGACAACGCGAAGTACGCGATATCCTTGGCCCGAAAATGTGGCGCGCGCGTCTACGCGCTACCCGAGGACATAACTGAGGTGAAGCCGAAGATGGTGATGACCGTATTCGCTTGTCTGATGGCGATGGACTACATCCCCAATATGGATTCCGTGAAGCAGAACAACGTGCAGAATAACGTGCAGAACAACGGGCAATAATGTCCGTGTGCCGTCGTATCGCGCGATTCGTTCATTCCGTGCGCTTTCCAAGAACTGTTGACTGAGTCGCGGTTCGCCTCCGCGCACGTTATGTCTCTTCTACGAGCGTAACAATTGTATATACACCTTAGGCTAGGGTAGCTTCTTTACCGAATCGAAACGAGAGGGACACAAATTAAGAGAGAAGAAACAGAAAAACGAGAGAAGGGGAAGATTCCTTGAATGGGAAAGGGTCATCGTTTGGTTATTTGTTGCGAATACATGGTTCTAGAGAATGATCCTGTTGCGATTTAAAAATCCTTGAATATGCAGAGTGGTGAATTCCCGCGTAGAATTATCTAGCGAGCTTCGGATAGAATTTGTCAGGGAATAAATGGAACGTGGTGGTAAAAGTCAGATGGATTGTCATGTGATGCTTAGTTTTTAGGCTTCTGTTTGTCACGAAAGGAAGTATCGACGAGGGCGTGCGTGTGTGTCTGCACTGCTCGTCGATCGATCGTGTGATACCGGGATTCTCCTTCTCCGATCATATCTTTCTCTCCCTCTGCATATTCGTAATCCGTGAGGTTTTATAGATTTGTATAAAATCCATTTTCTAACGACGTCTATCTCTCTATCAACGACACCGATTATCAGAATCGACAAGGACCGAAGGAACGAAGAAGCGTTTACGTATACCGGATATACGTGGCTTTCAAATTGTCGAATACTTACATATATGTATACTATATTTACATTCTTAAATCATGCATATACATTTGAGATGTGTACACGTATTTGATACCACAGGTGTGAAATGTCATAACTTTACAATGACGGTGTATTGAATCAAATTCAGTCAATCATTCGATCAATTATTGGAAACTTCTAATCCATTTATGAACGCATTTTATAAAAGAAAGTAAAATAATTGCTTTACATTATGAGCTTAACGCCAGAAGATCGTAAATGTTCGTCTTTAAATTATGATCTTAAAATGCGCTTTCGCATCGTTCCTAGGCGAACGTTGCTCAATATTTAATTTCAGGCGAGCAATAATTGTATACAACATTTGGATGCATTTTTAATAACGAATTAATCGCAATCGAAGGCAACGATCAGAATCAGAAAATAATTCTATAAATAGGATAAGAACAAATGTTTACATAATGTCGATGAACCAAACGAACGCACAAGCATCATTATAATCGTGCCATTACAAATACCGAAATCGCAGTCGTGATTGGACGCTTGTTGCAATATTTAATGATCGATTCAAAACACATGCATACGTAAATATTAGAATCATATTCAAATAAAAGATGTTGGCGCGCAGGTGTTGCCGAGATCGCTCTTCCTTTAAACTGTATTTTATTCGAGCGATTAAGCAACGAAGGTTCCTCTCGATCGTACGTGTACATGTGTGTAGCAAGTGCGTGGTAAAGGTCATTCTTCGAAAGGCACTAGTAATCATCAAGGGAAGGCGGATCGACTGAATTTAAATATTATAAATGTATTTTAGAGAAAATTCTGCGCGCCATGCGCGATGAGTTTAGAAAAAAGAATCTTTATACTGGAGTAGCCTTTAGACGTTTTTTATTAGGGATCGTTCTACGTATCGCATTCATAGCGCATTTTTTATTACGAGTATACGTTACATGCGTCTCAACTAAATTAAGATTGAAAATCTTTAGCTAATCTATGATGAATTTAATCGAATAATTGTAATTTAATTAAATGAGATTGAATTAGGGTTTTGATTGTGATTCAAGAATCAAATGCAATGCATCATTACTTGAACATTCCTACGAGGAAATGACGAAAGGGAAACGGGACATCCAGTACGTTTCGTTCTTAATTAAGAAGTTGCGTAAATAGGAGGACATCGCACGTTACCGCTTTACGTGATCCATTCCACAGATAACCACGCGTACCAGGCTGCATTTTTTCACGTCAGGATGCAAAATTACATTTCGTGGTGTCCTGAATTAATCGAGGGTAGAAAAACAAAGCGGCGATACCTACACTCGAAAACACTGATGAATGCGGTTTTCTTTATCCAATTGTAGTATGCGAGATTTAAATCTCTTGAGAGGGCCGTTTGCAATCCGCGCACCTAGATTTAAGTTACGAGAGGATGGAACTTGCTTCGTGTCGTAAAGCAAAAGTTGCATTAAAAAGAAAGAATGTGTAAAATAAAAATGAATTTGCCTAATAAGATTCACCTTCCCATAATCGTACGATAAACAACAATTTCATTTATGTTTTAGATAACAATTTAATTCTATTACATATTTAACAGCTTCTTCTATTTTTCTATCTTTAGTGTAGCGCGTAGGACTATGTTTATGTCTATCATATCCTTTCTTCTAAACAAGTCATTTAGAAATTTATTCTTCCGGGGAGATCCTTTCCATTTCCGCATTTGCCAAGATACTAGTTTTTGCTGCATTAGGGACTTTAGGCAGATCTCCTTTCGCGGCTCGAATGTCCTGCAGAGATACAGTTATATGTTGAGAGATCTCCACCACACTTTTCTTATCACTTGAACCAAAAGTGCCCGTTCTTATCATCGTGGAAACAAACTGATAGTCGCTGACGAAAATACGGCTGGATACACTCGCCTGAAAAACGAAACATGAAATAATTCCGCGCAATGTTTAACAAAGCGTAGTACTTGCAAACATATAATACTTAAAAAGCAGGAATTTCTATTTCTACCAAATTTTTTAAATTGACACCAAAAATGTTTTATATTGCATAAAAATTCGTAGTCTCTTCATTAAGGATGTATTGGCTATACAGTCAATCCCAAAAGTTTATGTACCTTAGAAAAACGCATTTCCTATAATTAAAAATAGTGCATTCTTCTTCCAATTTCGATATTTAACGA